CCAAGTGTCGTTTCTCTTGGATTTTCTGGATTGCTCGATTCATCCTCTCTCGGCAACCTGCTCCCTTTCCTCAATCCGTCAAAGCTACCATCTCAACCCAAAACCCCACCAACCCACCTCCCTATTTTACAGACCCAGAACTTCTTCCCCTCCAACCCAAAAAACCCCAACCTTAGCTCCGCACTTTATCATCTCCATAGCCACAAAAAATCCAACATCCAGATTACCCACCAGTTATCTCCTCCAGCAAAAGAAAACCAAACCCCCAACTTCCTTGTCTTCCCCACCAAAACACAACCCAATATTACAATCCCACACATTCATAGAGCAAAGAGAGAGGGGTGGGGATGTAGCATCCACGTCCCAAGTGTCATCGCCAAACCCAAATACCAACTCAAGGTTGCCGACATCCCAAGCCCCCAGATCTTGATGAAATTTAAGAGATGGATGGATGGAGAGAAAGAGAGAAAGGTGTGAGATGGAAAAGCTTACACTTTTGACTAAAAAAAAAAAGACTTGCAGAGAAGGGAGAAGAATGGTCTCCGTCAAAAAAAAGAAAGAAAGGAGAAGAATGGTTGAGAGAAAAGGGAGAGAGAAAAAATAAAGAAAAAAGATGTATTGAAATTTTTTCTCTTTTGAAAAAGAAACATAAATAAATAAATTTTTTTTATCATACCCTTTTCGTCATTATACACAATCACATCACTTTTACAAAAAAGTTTACCAAACACAACAACACTGTTTTTTATATTCACAGCACTTTTATAAATATAGATTACCAAACACTTAGCTGCTTCACTTCACAGCTGTTTATTCTCACAGCACAGCAGAAGCAGTTTTTTTAAAAAGCACAGCAATACCAAACTAAGCCATACTCTTATCATTAACTGTTATAGTTTTGAACTGTCAATGCCATACTTAATCGTGTTATAGTAGTACTTGAAGCTAGCAAGAGAGAGGCCAGATAATATTTCCCCTTTTATTTTCTTTTTGGTATTATACATATCTTCTCTACGAGTTAACGATGTTTGTGTACTATTAAAGGTAGAGACACGTATCAAAATTTTAAATAAGGACCCGGAGATTTGGGGACATCAGATCTCAACTCGAACCTCTAACAAAAATCTAGAGTCTCAAACTTCTAGGTTGTCTTGTAAAAAATTTGAATTTCTTCTCTCAAGTCTTAAAGCTTTCTTTCGATTTGGACTTTGGATTGGACGTACAAATCAAAGCAAAAGCACCTCTTGCTTGGCCGTTGTTTGACTTAATAAGTGAAAATGGGTCCAATACATCTCATGATCAATCTCACAATGATACCGCAGCTCCATGCCTGCCTGCCTGCCTAGCCTACCAGGCAAAGAAGATGAAAAAGGTAACCCCTAATGATTTAATTGCAAGATTCACGGCAGGTTGTTTTCTTTCTTCTTTTATTATGGCAAAAGGCTTTTTCATTTAAAGAGCAAGAGCCCTATCATATGCGTAATGCATGCCATGCTGCTAGGAAATTATGTTGGGATGCGGGTGGTGGTGTGGTGGTGGCCCTCCAAATGCATGCATGCATGCAAAGACTTTTCAAACTCCGAAGTCCCCACCTCCACATGCGCAGCTCATCTCTCTCATCAGTCAATTCTCTTCTAACTTGAATTGAAGGTAATAATAAATGCTGCTTTGCCTTGCCTGGCCGCGATTCAAACTCAAACTTTTGCTTGGCTACCACACGCCCATTCATGAAGTTATGAGTCGGACCACGGATGGTGATTTTGAATTCACAATTCACATGCCATAATTTTAAATTCAGAATTTGATATTCTAAAGTATCTATTGGTACAGTTCTGAATTAAATTAGTTGACTAGGACAGTGACCTTTCAAATTTTTTCCATAAAAAACAAACCACTTTGCACGTTATTATTGGGTATGATTACTGGACAAATCAAGAAGGGGTATGTTTTTTCATCAAAAAAGAAGGGGTATGTTTTTGGTGAATTTGACCAATATAATTTACATGACCTATATCTTCATTATCTCGAGTCTTGATGCTTATTTTTATTTTTTTAAAATATATTTTTTAGAACAAGTAATGTTATTGCGATACACTTGATCATACTAACTAACTACTTTATGCGACAGTTGATGTGGTCATGCCACATGAATTGATGAATCTAGTAGGTAAGAGCATCTCCATGGGTGTATGCAATCGAGTAGGCAGCCTTTTTTTGTGGATAAATATGCGAATTTATTATATCAATTGGAATAAATAGTATAAAGGATACAAACTTTAAAAAGAGTCATCTCAATAACAATATGGCAGACATGTGAGTAAAACTTCTCCCCAGTAACCTGAGCCAGCCAAAAGTTGTAACAATCTGGAGAGAATCACTCTCGAAAATAACTTTTATATAACCCATTTCAACCGCCATAAAATTATGTAACACTTACATATTCCCTCCAATCAGGCAATGATGCTTAATTACTTCAAAATCAATAGGTATATTCGGTCCTATCTATATTTTATAATAAAATATAATTTCCTTTCTCTCATCTACTATTTATAAAAGATAAAATTAAATAATATAATAATAAAACAAATACATTTTTTTGTTTGTTTGTGTGTTCTTATTGTAGGTACTTGGTTTGGCTGTGATAGCGGCGACATCGACGGAGGCTGCTTTATGGGTCTTCTTTTCGAGTCTCACTTCTTTCAAGCCATAATCATGGGTTGGTGTTGGATGTTGTTGGTTTTCAGTTTTTGTTTTGGTCCAATAAGTGCATCAACTTTGTTGAGTTTGATGCGTGGTTATGATTTTCTTTGAGGAATTTGGGTTTGTAAGTTACTTTATGGGTGATGTACTTGGTTATTACAAATTTGAGGTGATTAAGCTCGACTGACTGTAGACCTATATGGCTTTAAGTGGAGGTGTACTAAGTTTGATGTTGTGATTAGATCTCTCCATATTTGAAGTAGCCCTTCACGGGCATTTGTTCTAGCCCTTGAGGCTTTTGTATTTGTGATGCACTTATGGTGTAATTTACAAATGCAATCTCCCTAACATTTGACAAAAAATAAAAAAAGTTTTGCCTGAGTTTTTGGTTAATCTTTTATTGGGTTTTCGATTGAAATGGTCCCTTAACTATTGCTCTAGTATCATTTTGGTCCATCAACTAAATTTTTCATTTCAGTACTCCTTTAACTCTTCATTTGGTATCAAGATGGTCCTATCGTTAAAGTCTGTGAACTATTCCGTGAAATCGAGTGACAAAATCATATTTTTAGGTCATTACCCTCCTCTAAAACAACCAAGCCACATGCTGAAAGACATTCCCTCCAATTTCTGCTAGAAGCTCCCTCCAAAACCCCAAATTAGAACCCTAATTCTGCAATGTCAGATATTTCAACGCTCTTAAGTGGGCATGAGTCGGTACCGCGCATCTGGGACAAAGATAATTTGTCGGACTTCGTGGACATCTTTGAACCTAGGAAGAATGTTGAATGCTTATAATAAAAATTGGGTAATTTATTATTTGGGTTGCAAAAGTTATTCTTTTCCATTTACAATTGCTTGGTGAGGTCTGAAATTGGTTAAGATTTGATTTGCATAATAATAGAAGAGGTATGCATTTTTTCGAGTGGGTGGATAATGAAACTTGTCCAAAAGGAAAACAAGTTGACCCTAATTTTATTAGAAGATTTAGAGCAATGGAGAAGGAATGTACAACAAATAAGGAACAATTGAGATCTGTGGAAGCAGAAAAGAAAGAACTGCAAGAGAAATTGAAAGAAATGGTTCGGGAAAAAAATATTTTGGAATGAGGTCATAGACAAAGACAATTGAAAAATGTGGGTTTCTTTGATTTTTTTCGTGGGATTTGTTTATAACAATTGTGATGAGTGGGAAGTTTTAATTGTCATGGAGTTTGTTTCTTTGAATGTAATAGTAAATAGTTCTTTTTTCAATTGTAGAATGAGTGTCCATTACATATGTTCTCAAATTTTCTTGAATTGAGGTTATTTGAATATTTGGGAGAAACACATAACTTAATATTCCACTAAGCATAAACATAAATAATCAAAAGCCATTCCAGTCTTGACCATATAGGCTATTTGCAAAATGAACATCCATATAAGCATTCAAATTACAAAGTTTGAGCCCTTCAAACTCAAAACATGTTAGACAAAGTACACAAAATTTACTTGTCTAGAAAATTACATAACCTAAAATAGACAACCAATTACATAGTTTGAACCTTTTGAACTGAAAATCAGTTAGACAAAGTACACAAAATCCTCTGCCCAGAAAAGTACATAACCCAAAATGAGTTTGAGGGTGCGAGATTTTTGTGCTGTTTTTAGATGATTATGAACTCCTCTTAGTCATTTTCGCTAGACCTTTTGCTAGGTTTTTTCCTCCTTCAATCCTATTTTGTTTCTTTGCCTTTTGCTTTATATATACTAGCACACATGTGCCAATTGGTTTTCTTTTTTATTTTTATTTTATTTTTAGCATTAAGAAAAGATAACATGGATAGTTATGTTCCATAAAAGTAGGATCTATTATCTGATTTTGTTTTTATTTTTTTTAATATGAAAAAAAGTGAATTTACCATATTATCCTCATTTAATTAATAATTTCAATTCTTAATATTTGAATTAACCAAGGGTATATTCGAAATTTTTGAATGTTTCGCCATTCTCTGTCTTTTGCTTTATATATATAGATATAGATAAGTCCATATGTTAATATATTAATTTAGAAAAGGAAAAAAACAATGGTAAGTAGAATAAAGGTACAGCTGGCTGGATTTAGAAAAGGTAATAAAGATATTAATTCTTCTTGCCTAAGTTTATTACAATAAAGGTAAAGAAAAAAAACACAGAAACTTGCGTTTTTTAAAAATCAAAACACTCCAAGTGAAACGACGTCGTTTCATTTAGAATTTTTTATAAAACACTGCAATCGAAACGACGTCGTTTCATTACAATAAACCTAAAAAGAAAACACGCGAGTCGTCTTCCTCGCAGAGTCGCAGCCAATTTGCATACTCGCAAAATTTCTTCAGGTTCAGAAGTGTCCAGATCTGGCACGCCTCGCTCCGCCTGGCCACGCCTCGCTCCGCCTGGCCACGCCTTGCAACGCCTCCTTACGCCTTCCCCGCGCTAACAACTCGTGAAACAGCCGACCGCCTCTGACGATTTCCTGCCGCCTCGCTCCGACGCACGAAGGCATTCCTTTAAAAACACTGGTATGGAATTGTTTGTTGCTCTAAAGTTACAAATGCTCTTTTGAGGGAAATGGAGAAAGTAGTAGAAGAAGCGGAGTTAAGAATTTATACTATTTTGATCTCCGTATCGGCCCATACCCGTATCCTAGTTTTTGGAGATTTGCCGTATAGGGGTAGTAAGTTCGATTAAATACCTAAATCTCCGAGGAGACTTCAATTTTTAATGAATTTTCTCTGACAACATTTTCTGCACAGCTGGGCAGAGCATAAAAGAAGCTTGTCAATTTGGTTGAAAGTAAAAGCTACTGATAAGGAATGGCTGCAGGTTTAGCTTCAAAGTGTTCGCGCGGTATGTGATTTTGCATAGGGGTTTTCGAGTAATCTATTTGTACTATTTGTGTCACTTGCTCTATTATTGGATTCTACTTTCATTGAATTAGCGTTAGGAAAAGCTGTAGAAACTTTCACGTTTCCTGGATCAGTAGTTTGTCTGGTATTGACTGCTTGCTCCTTGCTGGATAACTAATGTAAAATAGTTGAGTGGATCTGAAAAGATGCCACACATTTGTTGTTTCATCATTTTTGTAGTTCTCTTGAGTTTTCATATTTTAATTGTGCTAGTTTCCTGGATTAAATATAAGCTCTTTTAGTATCTGTTATGCAATTATTCCCTTACCCATTTACTTACTGCAATCTTTTCAATCTTCTGGAAACAAACCTAGTGGGTCGCTCATTGTTGGGGGGGCTTGGCAACAACTCGTCTGGCTTATTGAGCACATCACATGAGATGACATGCAGCACTTTCTTGTCTCAGGTCAGTGTGTGTTGAAGTTAATACTTAATGGTAGTGTTTTATGTTTTGAATATATTTTTGGATTATTAGCAGCCATGATGGTTGTTGACTAAAGTAAAGCTGTAGCCTCTCCTTTGATTTGTAAGTGCCGTGTGTGACACACTAGAGCAAGGAAAAAGTTATCCTACCACTCTATTGAAGTAGTTGGTGAGAGAGACATGTGGTAGTGTGTAGTGTTAGAGAACAGGAATCTATAAAACTCTTAAGTGCAAAATGTGTAAAATGAGAAGTTTGGGGAGAGTAAAAGATTCCTCATATTGAATAGAAGTAGAACTCAGAGAGTATTGCTTTGTGCTTTTTCATTTGAGTGCTGGGCTTAATCCAAATTCCAACAGTGTGTTCATCTAATATTTCTTGGAAGATTGCAACTGTGACTAGGAAATATATTCATTGAATTTTTAGTAGGATGGTTTGGATTGAAGTGAAGGTCTAATCTTATGATTAGAATAAAAAACCCTGTTTGGTTTTCATACAAAATGTTTTTGCTGGATGTTTAAAATCTTGAATATTTTTGGTTCTAGAGAATTGATAGTTTCTTGTAGCCTTGCAGTGATACCCTTTATAGCATTGTTTAGAACAGTCGACCAAAAAAGCTTGTTTTGACAGGCTTAAATGGAGAATCTTGGTGCTATTTCTGAGTGCAATGGATTAGCTGTGGCACTGTTAATTAATTCCAAGTTGTTCTTACTATTTCTCGTGTTTATCTTCTTTTTGGCTAAATACCTCAAATTGTAAACTGTTTATTACTTTGTATTGACATGAGCTTGATTTGTTGTTTTTGTCCACTTTTACAGCAGCAAAGGACCTTCATACAGATGAGGACTATTCTCAAAGTGGTGGACAACTCAGGGGCGAAAAAGGTGATGTGCATACAAGCTTTGAAGGCAAACAAGAAAGGGGCAAGATTGGGAGACACAATTGTTGCATCAGTAAAGGAGGCACATCCCAATGGGAAAGTGAAGAAAGGACAGGTTGTGTATGGCGTGGTTGTTCGTGCTGCCATGCAACGAGGCCGTTGTGATGGGAGTGAGGTCAAGTTTGATGACAATGCTGTGGTGCTTGTTGACAAGCAAGGGCGGCAGCCGATTGGGACTAGAGTATTTGGACCCGTCCCGCATGAGTTGAGGAAGAAAAAGCATGTCAAGATTCTTAGTTTGGCGGAGCAAATTGCCTGAAGTGTCGAGCGCACGACAAAATACAGATGCACAATAAGAACAGAATGCTTATCTGAAGTGATGAGGTGTTAAAAACTTTAGAATATCCAAGTGATCGGAATAAAGTTTGGTACCACGATTAGGTTTCAATATTTTTGAATATTGGGCATATTGGCCAAAGATTGAGTAATTACATCTTCTATGCCCTAGTTCAAAAATAGAAGAAACATGATCGGTTTATTGTATCGTTTTCATTCCGAGTGAGATACAACTGAGCGCATAAAGGTGGGTTTTTTACCCTTCTTTTGCTCAATTTTGGAAGTTGGATCTTTTCCTTGCAAGTTAGAGTAATCAGACAGAAATTTAATTGTTTTCTTGGGGGTCTCTTTTCTTGGCACCTTTTCATATTATTAAAAGAACACTTGGGGTTGTTTCTTTAGGAAATATTTTTGTTTATAAGCTCTTTTATTAAAAGAATGTAGATATTCTTGTTAAAAATCAAAGTGCTTTCTAAAAGCACTTTTAGACCTATAAGCACTTTTAATTTTTCTGCTAAACTTGGTTATAAGCAGTTTTGGTTGTCATAAAATGTTTTTAGCCCTTCCAAAGCAACTTCTAAACAGGCCATTGGTTGATCTTGACAGCTGAAGTAACTTTAGGGGAGAAATAAAGGGTCGACTTATGAAAATTTATTTTCTCCCGTCAAGCCCTGCCGAAATACTGTAAAGTTTTTATGATATTCCTAGCATCAGTAGTTGAGGCTTTCGCAAAGATGAGACGATCATCAGCAAAAACTAGATTCGAAACTCTATAACCCAAAAAAAGAAGTTACATTGTCTAATTTATTAGAGTGATCGACTCTTTTTCATGTGACAAATGCGTAGGCAACATACCGCAACATAGCATTTGAGTTGTTAGAGTCCGTATTTGCCGACTTCATTTGCAATTGCGTACTCCCTTGTGGTGAGCCACATAAGTGACTCTTCCAGAACAATCCAAGAGCTCACTTACCCACCCAGCTACAGCTGAGCCAACTAAATGCAATTTGCCACTTCTTTCACACATGAAAAAGAGTGTTCACACCAAAAGTAAAATGAAAAGTAGAAAAAGCGAAAAGAAACGCGGAATGAGTGAAGACCCTTTTTTTCTGCAAATCCCGGACGTAACATTGTTGTCATCCCAAATGTGCAATATTATTTCTATTTTTGAAATGAAATAAATATTTTATATTTTTGTGTCGTTTTTTTAGTGCTTCTTTTTATTTATGAAAAATCGTTCTAGTATTGGAGGAATAAGTTGAAAAGAAACGACTCTTCAAAGTGATCTGTAGTTAACTAAAACACAATTCGTATTTATGGGTTTCATGAAGGCCAAAATCCCAAACAAAAACTAAACTATTACAATTTGTATTTGACCAAAACAACTAAAATATAATTTGTGGAGTTGTATTTATTTTTTAAAATGATTTTCAGAAGTGATTTTTTAATTTATTTAGAGTGTTTAAAATCAAATTTAATATGTTCAAATTAGCCGAATCGAATCAATCCCATTTTGAGTTGTTTTGAAGACTTTGGTAGGTTTTATTGAATTCTTAAATTCAATGTTTACATGATTGGATCAAATGACGATTAGTTTACAATAATCCAATCAATCACATACTTTTTTTGCCCTTATTGTAGAACAAAACACTTTTTTTATTTAATTTTAAACGTGAATACATTAGGGATAATTTACTTAAATGCGGTTGGAAAAAGTTTAGATGTTGGGCATTCATTCTGGACCTGATAATTATCAATTTTTGAAAATTTATATTTCTCTTCTTTTTTTTCCTTCCAGAAGATTTACTTCGGATTTGAACTCCCTTTGTGGCCCAACAAAGCCATGGAAAAGAAAAAGAGTGTGTGGAGTGGCATGACACAAAGGGATATAGCACGCGATGCATGACACGTACACAACCCCACTTCATTGCACCGACTAACCCATTCTGCCCAAACCCCATTTAAATTTGGATGCAAAAGGATAGGATCACTGTCTTGGCCAACTGACCTAACTCATATTGAGGATGAGAAAAATGAGTTTAATCACTTGAATTACAAACTTTTCCTCGTTGCCGTTTGATACGTTACTTTTGAGTACAAGCGATACCAACCTCCACCTTAGGTTTGATACTTTATTTTTATCTACGAGTTAATGTCATTTTTCACTGAATGCACCGTATACTTTACTTTGATGAGAGAGAAAGGGCAAAAGCCTCATTTCTTTTGAGAGTGCCATCATTCGTTCCCACTTCGCCACTTAAATACCTCCTCCCCTTCCCTTATATAAAACACAATAATACGTCCTCCACAGCCCATCCCACCTCAAATCCCACATTCTAATTTTTTTCTCTCTCTCCTCTTGAGAAAAGAAAAGAAAAGAAAAGAAAAGGAAAGAAAGTTAAAGGAAAATGGGAGCAATGAGGGTTTGGAGTGTGCTTGTGGTGATGGCGGTGGCCATGGCGGCGTTTGGGGAGTGTGGGTCGACGCACCACGCGGCTCCGGCGCCGGCGGTGGACTGCTCGAGCCTGATCTTGAACATGGCGGACTGCTTGTCCTTTGTGTCCAATGGGAGCACCGATACAAAGCCCGCTGGGACTTGCTGCAGCGGCCTCAAGATGGTCCTCAAAGCTGACGCTGCCTGCCTCTGCGAGGCCTTCAAGAGCAGCGCTCAACTCGGCGTCGTTTTGAACATCACCAAGGCCGCCTCCCTCCCCGCTGCCTGCAAAGTCTCTGCTCCTTCTGCCACCAACTGTGGATGTCAGTTTTCTCTTCTGGATTTTTCCATATTTTTTTCTTCTGTTTTTAACCAGTTTTATGAGATTTAATGGCTAATATTTAATTTTATTCATTTGTTTTTTATTTTGTTGGTTTTGTCGTTTTTCAGTATCTATCACTCCTGCAGCTGCTCCTGGTATGTTCTTATTTTTATCTTAATATAGCTTTCAGATTGATCTGCTTTTTTCTTTATATTTTTATTTTTTTTATAATTAATTCCAGACTATTGGGTTTAATATTTTTTTTTTTTTTTATTCTTCTGGGATTTCCCTGATCTATACACGGCTGTGCTCTGTGCGGAAGAAAACCATGTCTTAAACTTGTGTGTAAGAAAAGAAAATGAGGGAAATAATCTTTAAATTGATCAATTCACTTGCAGAGGGGTGTTTAGTATAAACTTGATCTTCAATGTTACTATGAACTTCAAGTTTAATACAGAAAATATATTGAGTTTGGATTTCAATGTTACTTTCTCAATTTGTTAGACAGAAACTGTGATGTGCCAAATCAGTTATTACCATTTATTTGTTTCTCACACTCAAACTGGCATTGTCAGTGTTTAAATTTCTGTTTTTCGATTTTCGGCTTGCAAGATGAATCGAACTAAATATGTTTTGTTTGTCATGACTGTCATTGTCCTTATTCTCTGGTTTCCTCATTTCGCTGAATCTGATTCTAGACAGCATTGTACATCACTCCGACACTATTCCCTACACCACCGGTCTAACTTGGGATTACCTGATAAGGTTTTCTGTCTGGTGTTGCAGGTCTCTCGCCGGGATCTTCTCCAACATCTGTTGCTGCTACACCTGAATCGTCTGCTGGAGGGAACGAGCAAGCACCTGCTTCTCCGCCAGGGGCCGCCGCGGGTTCTCTTATGCTTGCCAGTTCAGTTGGATCCCTGCTCGTTGGTCTTGTAGTTGCATCATTCCCTTGTTTTTGAGAGCTGAGAGGGATGATATAAGAGAGTTGTGATGTTCATTTTACCATTGGGGAGTTCTCACTTTAGCTGTTTTTGAGGTGTGACTGAAGTTAGATTTGACATCTGTTTTGGGGTCACTTGAAACCTGTATTGATGGTTTGGTTGGACATCTTTTTCCTAATTTATTACTCTATTTCTTCGTATATTTTTGTGCTCCATTTTGATTTGAAGTTTGAACTTAAAAGAATTCTTGAGCTGTGAGCAATGAGCATGTTTCAATTTGTAAACCACGCAACGCATTGTGCAATGCATTCGATGGTATATCTGTTTCATTCTGAACACTGCGTAGAAGAGCTACATCTATTTTGGTGCTCATAATCAAAACCAATCAGTCCCAAAATTGGAGCGTTCCAAGAGCTATTGAATTAACACAGAAATTCAAAGATCGACCATGAAATCAAATTGACTTTCTTCCTTCAGTTAAAAATGAAAAATTCATTTTTTTTTTCCGTTATAATCTTCACCAAATAAAAGAAGGTAATGAATCAATTATTTGCCATAAAAATGGAATAAATCAATTTGGGCCTGGAGTTTCTCTTGAACATTTACCTGCCTAACAAGTGCGTCAAAGGATGGCCACGAGTTTTTGGAGGAAATTGGGCCTGGAGATTTTGTATGGATTTAGAATAGTTTTCGGCCACCTTTCAAACCTAATAACAAAACGAGAGTCGTTTTAGAGTGAATGAATGTGACATATACGGACTATGGATGTGAATCTCCATATACGGCACTCACTATAGAATTTAGCAACAAAACAAAGCCATTTCCATAAATTTTTAATATTACTATTTTTTATTTATTATTCTTTAAATGATTTTTCAATGTCTTTCTCAAATCAAGAGGTCTCGTGCCGGAGACATTCACAAATGTAACAAGTCTATTGGCTATATGATTCCTAGTTCGAAGGGTATTTGAAAAAGAAAAGCCATGGAATTTAGTACATAAAAGATTAGATATCGTCTTAGAAATCTATCCACACAAAAAACCAGAAGCACCATTCCAAACGCGTCCCCCTCACAACAAACATTATTATTTGTTTGGGATTATGAGAATTCAAGCATCGTGCCTATAAAGAAGAGGTATATTTCTTTCGGCCGAGCTCTAATTTCTTTTGGTCAAACGCGCTATTGACTTTTTTCTTTTTACCGAAAGAAAAAGTTGGAAGAAAAAAAACCCAATGGCAAGAAGACAGTTTATGATTCAACGCTGACCAAACAGAAGCATAGCTCGATGGTTATTAGGGGAAAAAACGCGTTTTGTTTTGGAGTTACCGCTAATTGTGTATCCGTACTGCATATTCAACCGCTTTCTTTTTCCGAGTATTTTTTTTATTTTTTATTTTATTCCTCGTGCTCTTATCTCAATAAGTTCTAAAATAGGGGATAATATTAATATTATTGTAGAATACACTATAATATTATTTCTCATGCTCTTTTTTACTGAATTAAACCTTGTTGGTGAGTATCACATTATTTTGACATGACATTAATAAAAGAGTAATATTATGTCGATATTGTCAATGTTGTTCACATGCTATGATAGTAGTACTATTTTGAATCAAACATGAGTTAAGCCAGTTAGTCAGGGTAGTGCGCCCAACGCCTTCACCAAAATTCAAATCCATTTCCACATAATAAATTAGATTAATT